AAAAGCTCGTGTGGTTTGTTTTCACCCAGCTGAACACCACCTTATTCAGAACAGCCCCACAAATGGGAGACTTTGAAGATCTGCAAGAAACAGATCACTTTTTCCACAAAGTTACCACACCTCGGGAATCCCCACGAGCCAGCGCTCCTCCACGGCTATGCACACCACTTCCCCTTCCAGCTACAGACACAACATCGCTATCAGCAGAAACAGCTGCCATGGGGAACACTATGCTAGAGCCAGGGTCTTTCCTGCTGTAGTAAAAAATGAGCAATTTTTAAAGCTGTCTAGGCCCAAACCTCCAAAGTGCACCTTCAGGTCTCAGCCCTGATATAGCTAAATACATATTATATAGCTAAATATATGCTATATAGCCTGATATAGATATTTTTGACCAACACCCCTCTTCTTTTTGTTAAAGCAGGCTTATCAACACCTGCCATATCAAGACACCAGTTGTTCCTTTCGATCTAGATAAGGATGTGGCATTTTCCAGTAGCCACCAGCCTGATGTGCTCAGAGTATCCAAAACTGGTGTTCGACCCGCTCTGCAGCAAAAACCCCAAAACCCAAACATTTACAAATCTCTGTCCTCCTCCCACCACAACCCCGATCCCTTCCTTCCACAGATTTAAGAGAGAGACCTGGTGATGGGTTGGGGACTGCAGCTCTGGCTCTGCTTCTCCTCTTCCTCCCCCTAGGAGGGTTTGCCCCAGCTTGCTGCTGGAAGGAGCTGGTGGTTTCCAAAATACATCTGTAATTTTTCCCCAGCCATCCTAGCTGTGTGATTGCTGGGCTTTGTCCTCACACAAAACCCCAGCCCACCAGCCCACCTGGGGTAGGTTTGGGGGAGAGGGAAGGAAAAAATAATAGAAAAAAAAAATAGGTGGGAGAGGGGAGAAAGACTTTGTCGTTATTCAAAATAAACCCAAGACAAAAGAAATGTTCCCCAGCATTAAAGAACAAAAAAAAGGCCTGCCAACGCACTATTGTGCTTTATGACGGGGCTAATTATCCGAGGCACATAAAAAAATGTTATTGCCCATAAAATCTCAGCACGCGGCCGCCAGCAGCCATAGCAGGCTCTTGGTCTGTTCTTGTTGCGTGAGCGGCTGTGAGAGGCAAGGAGCCGGCTGCCCTCTGTTCAAGTTGACACAGGTCACCTGCGTGCTTCCCAGAAAATCCCAAATTCCTCGCCCTTGATGCCTGTGCATGCCTGCAAGCCATCTGTATGGCACAGCAGCCGCACGCACCCTGAATGGTGCCAGCAACCAAGCCCTGTGCCTTCGGGCGCTATGGAGCAGGGCTTGGAAGCAGCACGAAAGCAAACTGGGGTTTGGGGTTGGATCCTTTAAAGCAGCGAACACAACAGGTTCTGGGATAAAAGCAGCAAAGAAACTCAATTTTGTCATTCAATCCAAGGGAAAAATAAGAGTTTAGCTGGAATAGGAGGGTAGGGAAAGCTCTGCAAAGCTTGTGCACCAAGATACAGGTGGGAACCCAAAAAGGGACGAGCAAGGCTGATGCTGCTCATGTAGGGTACCTGCAGCACGCTGCTCGACGGTAGGTAGCATTAAAATGCAATTGCTGTTTTACAACCCATGCAATGCACCGAGACTTCCCAGGAAAGGAAAAAAACCCGTATCACCTGCTCCCGCCTACGCACTCAGTGCTGATAAATCCCAGCCTTTATTGCTGCGTCGGGGAGAAAAGTTTTCAGCCGGCTGAAACTTGATTTGCACTGGCTTTACACGGCATCTCGTCCGGATGTTCCTGACCGAGATTTACAGCACCAAGCAGAAATGCGCCTCCTGACGTTTTCCATTTTGGTGTATTTAATCTCCCAGTTCAACAAAGTGGCCCCACAAACATGTTTATATCTCCTGGCAGTGATATCACAGGGCACCAGAACGCACCGCGCAGTGGAGAACTTAATGGCGTGTAATAATCTTTAGAGAACAAATGTTCCATTAAAAATGAATTTGGAAATTTCTACCTTAATACTATAAGAACCTTAAACTCATTTTCTCGCAACTATTAAATGAATTTAAGCCCCATATGCTCGCTACATCCACTACAATATTGTGCAAACAAAACCCCGAAGAGATATGGAAGAGACAGACTTGAGCACAGATTTGGCTCGAGTCAGTTAGAAAACCATTTACTCCCTCTGTTCTGAAAAATAAGATTAAAACCAGGACATGACAAGTTGCTGCCGCACGCTGCCAACTATTACTGCTCCAGCCATTTACAGTAACTTAATTCAGTTGTTCAAAACTAAAATAAGATGTTAATGCTTCTAATAAGTTTACAGTCCTGCTATTTCCGTATCTCCAGGACCCTTATGAAGTCACTCTGTGGAGCACTAATAGGGCCGGAGCTTCCTGGTGGGATGGGACAGGACAGTGCCCACCGGGGTGCAGCACGTTTCTCATTTCACCTGCATGAAACCTGTTTTCTCCTGTCCTACTAGGAGCATGGCCCAAGGAACCTCAGGTCTTCCCCACCTGCCAACCACGTGGATCTTCTTCCACCATGCTCATCCACATGCTGTGTCTGAAGCCCTTCGGAGGTGAGTAATCCCAAGTTAAATGGTTGAGCTCGGCAGGGACAGAGCTTGAACCCATCCGTTTCGTGCTTCCTATGGTCACAGCCACGTTGGCATGACGCTAGAGCTGTTCTGAGCTCATGGATAATGGAGAACAGCCTGAGGAGCCCTCCCTCCTGCAGGAGGCCCTGTGGTCACATCTCAGGAGGCTTGGGGCCAGCACATCCATGCACGTCCTGTTCACCCATCCAAACGTTGTGGTGGGCCTCTCCATAGAAACAACCCAATATTTTGAGGTCAAAACCACCCTGACTTGCTACCTAAGGCAAAGCTTTTCAAAGATAGCCAATCTTACTACTTTTTTTTTCATATTAAGACAAAAGCAGATTTTCTGTAGAAACTGAATAATGCCATTTAAACATGGTGTTTAAATTGTCTGCCAGGAAACTGCATGGGTATCGCTCCCTAGAAGAGAGCTGCAGTGCAAAAGTAAAGGACCCTTGCAAAGGAACGGCTCATCTGAAGTCCCTTTGGGGTTGCCACAAGCGTGCTGACACAGGATGGCACCTCCGTGAGCCCAAAGGAAATGTCGGGGTGTGGGGCAGCATGGTGGTGGCTTCGCTATAGCCACCAGGCACCCAGCACAACAGCCTGGAGGAAGCCTCCAAGACAGCCCACTTGTCCCCTGCCAGGTCTGGCTGTGCAGCTCCAGCCCAGCAGGATATGGCCCACGACCAAGGTCAACAAGTGTCCAGGTAAACACCATGTCTGAGGGTGTGCATACGTGTGCAGGAACTGCTGTGGCAGCTCTGCATCCTGTCTCCAGCTCATCTCCACCCAATCTTACATAGAAATTAAAAAAATAAACATAAAAAGTAAAACATAAAAAAAAACAAAACCAACAACACAAAATAAAATAAAAAAAAAAACAAAAACAGGTTGCCTAGAGAAGTGGTGGATGCCCCATCCCTGGAGGTGTTCAAGACCAGTTTGGACAAAGCCCTGGTCAACCTGGTCTGGTGGGTGGTGTCCCTGTCCATGGTAGGGAATGCGATGGCCTTTAAGGTCCCTTCCAACCCAAACCTTTCTGTGATTCTGTGATAAATGCTGTTTCGCCCACATGACCTGACTTTCAGTTGCTTATTTTGAATCAGATTGAACATATTTTCCCCCCGCGTTTCCATCTCCTCTACACATCTCGTGCCTCTCTGTGGTTCATAGTTCAGCTGCTGCCTTTCATGAAAGCCACCAAGATGGCCAAAAAAAGCACATGGGACTTTCACATGCTTTCACAGCATTTTCGGACAAATCTTGCTCAACTCCCTGTAGCCCAGCTGTTTTCAGGTTGGGAACAAACTGAGTTCTTCCATGACTGTGCAATATCACACCATGCAAGAAGCCTTCAAGAGACCACTGCCCTGCCATCGCTGGCTGACATCTGCCAACAAATTCAAGAGGAGTTGAAGGGCTACCCTGCCAGAAGGCCGCACCCATCCACCCAAGAGCACACGGAGAAGTCTAACCACAACTCAACCACAGCAAAACTTCGTTTCCTTCCCCTCCACACCCTCTCATGAACAAAAAGCTGCCGTCGTTTTCATTTTCAGAGCTCAAGGCAAGCGTGATTTGGTATTCTTCAGAAGAGTGTTGGCTGAGAAACTGCTGCCTGTAAGGGGAAATCTCATGCTCAGGTCTACAGAGCCTTCCCAAGCCCTCCTGATGTCTCTCTAATAATGAAGGAGAAGGGGTTAAAGCATCAGCTGTGTTCTTACATGGAAACTAAGGAGATCCTCCACCACCTGCAGGGATGGGGCCCACCAGTCCTCCCCAACCCCTGGAGCTTCCACTACCTGCCTACTGATGCAGCTCTGTGAGCAATATTAATGGCCCTACCCACCCAACGAGCAGGCTAATGGCTTGATCATCAACATAACACAGCCCTCCTGTAATGAAGCCCTTGAAAAATTTCTCTCTTCTCCACCAGAAAGGCAACAGCGGCAAGAAAAAGAAAGCCCTGCATGGCAAGGGCTGCCCTTGTACCACCTTCTCCTTCTCCACCCGCTGTTTTTTTTGAGCACACAGCAGCACGTGGAGGGATGAATCCTGCGTCAGGCTGGCAGATTTTGACATTTGCACAAATCTCAAGGATGGAGGAGCATCACAGGGCAGGCAGCTGAGCCAAAACGTGTGCAAGTCAGGCAGGAGAAGGGCGGTGATGCAGCCCGACCCTCAGATAAAAGCTTCCCATCGCTGCTAGCCCAGCTCTGCTCCTGAGCTCATCCCACCTACCTCCTCCAAATATCTTCCTGACTCATGCAGAACACAGCCCCAGCAGCCTATTTTTACCTCCAAAAATACGCCGAGAGCCTACAACTCAGCTGGGAGGCAGCACATCCAAATCCCAGCTGTCCGCAGCTCGGGCTTTGAAATCCCCGAACCCTGATTGATGCAAAGACCTTCCCAAAACGAGGAGATTTCACCACCCTCCCCAAAATAGGGGGTTACTGGAGGATGAATCCTTTCACCACAAATCCCAACTCTAAATAAGTTTTGGAAAACGTGCATATGATCAAGACAGGCGGGAAGGACATTTTTATGAGGACTTCTGAGCAATGTGATGGTTTTTCCCATGGTCAGTGCTGGTATCAGATCCTCCCAGGAGCCAGTGATTCACATCCTCAGCGAGCACCATTTGGGCAACAAACCACTATTTTTTGTTCTTCTTTTTATTTTTTTTCCAAACCAAAAATCTTGCAGGGCAGGAAACGGACTCCCGACAAACACTTCCCACACCCTTTCTGGAAACTAACTCCACCAAGACGGTCGAGGAAGGCTTGTGATCATCACTGGGAGTTTATGGATGTGTTCAGACCCGGGGACCTGAGGGTCAGTGCTGGACAGGAGCATTACAGCTCTCCATCACACCTCTGGAACCAGCACCAGCCTTAGTCCTGACCCCTTGGGACCTACACAACCTGCCCACCTCCACAGCAAGGTCTCCCTGAATGCCCCCTCTTGACCTCCATCTGCTTGGGATGCTGCAGAGAAACCCGGCCAGGCAGCGCTGCTCTTCCTTTGGTTAAAAAGGGAACGGTCAGTGTAAGCACTCCATGTAATTATTACATTTTAAACAGCTTTTGCAGAGTTAATTTTCATTATAACCCCCTCGGGCAGGCAGGTTACCCTGAGCAAGCACACTGCCGCAGCCAGAGTCATCGATATCCAGACACACAGATGCCAGCCTGAGGATTAAATTCACCTGCTGGATTTTTTATTTTTATTTTTTTCCCCACTCAGATGAAGCCCTGGCAAGCGGGTAAAGTCTGCCTCATTACTTGAGGAGTTATGTGCTAGGGCCTCACCGAGGTGAGAAATCACAGCTCTCCCCACACAGAAGCAGGTGCAGGGTTTTCTGGAAAAAAAAAAAAAAAAAAAAAAAAAAAGTCTCAAGTGTGTTTTTTCAGCAAGAAACGCTGAATTTCTGTGCCATTAACACTCAGCTGAGCCTTAATGGGCAGGCACCAATCCCCATTCCTCATGCTCGTTATTAAACTATCCAGGAATTTTGACCTTTTCTTGTTGCTGTTGCCTTTTTTTTTTTTTTTTTATGACTTTTTTTTGGAGCAGATTTTGAAGCAAATGGACCATCTTCTGGGGCAGCCCTGTGCATACTGCGGACAGATGGCTGGTGTAGCAGCACGCATTAGAAGTGATCGAGCACCAGTCTCCTGGCCTGCTAATGCAATAAGACTCAGGAGCAAGACATAATAAACCCGCCCCTGATTAGGTTTCCCTCTAAGCAGAGCAGCGGTCGCTCTCTCTCATTTGTGTTTTCCACAGCTCCCTTTCACCACCCAAGCTGTGGTCAGCCCCAAAAAGGTCAGTTTGGGGGCAAACCTGTGCGAAGCCAAAAAGCTGAGTGGTTTGAGGAACACGGTGATTCAAACTCATCCGGTATCACCGCAAAGCTCCCATGGCAGAGCTCTGTGTTGCTGGAGTTGAAGGGCTGCTTTATCCCACCCTGACACAGGGCATCCCACCTCCACGGGAGCAGGATGTGCAGGGCTCTGAGCATCCCCACGGTGTTTTCATTTCATTTCTATTTCATAGAATCATTCAGGTTGGAAAAGCCCTCCAAGATCACCTGCTCCAACCACCCCCTACCACCAATGTCACCCACTAAACCGTGTCCCCAAGCACCACGTCCAACCTCTCCTTGAACACCCCCAGGGACGGTGACTCCACCACCTCCCTGGGCAGCCCGTCCCAATGTTTTACAGCTCAGTGGTACCCACAACACCCCCTGGGTGCCTTGTTCATCTCTGCCCTACCCATTTTTCAAGCTCCCTTTCTCTGGGTCTCATTTTGAGGAGGAGGACTGGATGATATTTGAGGGCCAAACAGACATCTGCAGATACCAGAGGAAAAACAGCTTTAAGAAAAACAACAAAAAAAACCCCTCTGGCCTCTTTGTTTTGGCAGGCAGACAGACATTAATCCCTCAGCTCTGCCAGGGGCACGTTAGGGTTTGCACCCAGGCACAGCACTGCTCCTCAGTCAATAAATTATTGGCAGCAACATGTGCATCTGCCCCTGGGAGATGCTGCTGGCCATCCTGTCCCTTGCTGCGGTCCTTGAGGTCACCACAGCGTGAGGCTGATTGAATTCTTACACTGTTCCCCAGGCTCTGCAGATGTTCAAAAGGAGAAGTAATGGGGTCCCCAGTCTGCTGGAGACAGAATATCCCAACAGCCAAGACCCCAAATCCTAATGCTTCTCGCCTCCCCAGCATCACCTCTTGGCTCCCCCCTCTGCTTTCAGACAGGGCCTCGACCCAGAGCTGCTTCCAGTTAGGGCTCTTCTACCTGCAGCCCCAGCCTGCACACAGCTCTGCAGCACGGCTTATTTCCCTTGATTACTTAACCAGAGGCTTCCTGGCTTTGGTCTCGCCACCCGCTGCAATAATGTGCAATTACCAGACTTGAAGAAGAAAGGGAAAAAAAAAAGGCAAGTGGCATCTCCTGCCAGGTCAGCACTGCCAAGGCCTGCTCCTGTCTTTCAGCTCCAAAAATCACCAAATCCTCCCCTTGCCTCACAGCATGGCATTTCAGGCAACTTCTTCTATACACAGGAGCTTTTACCCCAAAAGGCCACTTTTGATGCAGCTCATTTCAGTCCCTGCCTTTCACTCGCTGCTACTCAAGAGGTGGAAGTCAAAGGCAACACTACCGTGAATTTCTGAAAGATTATTTCAAACCCACCCTCATGTTCAGTGCAGACTGGTGTAATTCTTGGAAACCCCAAAGATTGCAGGAGTCAGGCTTCAATTCTCTTATTTTTACTAAAAATTCAATTTTCTGTGTGTACTAAAAGGGCTCCACTCACTCAGTTCCTTGCCTTTGGAAGCAGCTGAAAAAAGGGAAGGGGATGTGCTAAAATAAAGGGAATGTCTGGAAGAAAACATCTCCAGTAGGCAGGGCTGCTCTCAGTTTTCCAAAAGAAAGCTGCACCAGGTTAAAAGCATTTCCCTGTACCCACACTAATAATTAACCACCACTTTCTTTGGAAATGGTGGGCAAAATGCCCTTCCCCTTCCCATTCCCACCTGCAGGGCAGGAGGAATGAGCCAGGTGAAGCAGCCAGAGATCCAACTGCACCATCAGCACTGCTACTCATTTAGATCCCATGAAGTGAGAACTTGGGGTTCTGGGGGGAGCCAAAAAAGCCCCCAGGTGGGGACAGACATAAGGACATGCTGGCGGTGCTAGCTCAGGCCAGCAGGCACTGCAAGCTCTTCCCAGACCTCTGAGCCATTTAACCCAGTGAGAAGCTCTGGCATTTGTTGCCTGACCTGGAACATGTCCATGCTGAGGGCACAGGTCTTGTTTTAACACCAGCCTCCCAAGTCGCCTCTAATTTTAGGTGTTGGCAGTTATTTAAGGCACATATTATGACCAGGGGGAGCACGGGGAGCAGACACCTGCTCATGGGAAGATGAGGACAAGCAAAATGCCCCCAATAACAACTGCTGTCGAGGACAGCAAGCACATTGCAGGTATTTCAGCAATTCGGTATCGAGTGCCATCAGGAACAGGATTTAAGCCACTGCTTCCACTGAGGTCTGTCAAAGCAGCAACAACGTGGGCAGAAATAATTTAACGCTGCAGATCCTGCGTGCAGATGAGTTAATTACAGTATTATTACAAAAAGACCCTTGAAAAAAAAAAATTGAAAATAAAAATCACACTCCCACCCCCAAATCTTCCTTTCTCAGGAAGAAGCCCAGCCCAAGCGAGATGCTCTGCTCCAGCACCAAGCACTGCTATTGCCACCCTGACCATGCTACACCCAGCTGAGAGGGATCAATCCTAAAATCCTCCCAAAAAAGGGCAAAATCCTCAAGGTTGGCCACCATGATCCCTCCAGCACCACCGCAGCGCACCTCCCCAAGCACAGCTCCTCCGCACCAGGGCTGGGGCACCCATGTCCTAGTACGTCTTCCCTTTCAAAGGTTAAAGCTGTTTACTGAAAGGATTACGAGGGAGGAGCTGGAAAACTAGGAGGAAGCAGGGGGGGAGACTGCGCAACTCTTACGTAGGCAATAAATGCCCCACAACCCCGCTCCTGTACGGGTTGGGAGGTCACAGGGATTTCCTTTCTGCTATGGTCTTAAGCTCATTTTGGGCTATGTCGACCCTTGTCTGAAATGTTGCTTAAGGACGCAGCCTGCAAAGCATGGTTTGGGTACAAGAACTGCTCGAGAAGCAGAAAGCCAAGCCGTGCTGCTTCAGCTCTGCAGTGTACCTTGGCTGCGTGGACAGCTGTTTAAAAAAATAAAAGGTCAATTCTGTTTTACTGTGTTGCCTCTCATTTCAAGTAAATGAAATCTTAAGAGCTAGACACTTCAACACACACACAAAAAAAAAAAAAAAGAAGAGGGATTTCTACACCACCATGGAGAAGAAAAACTTATGTGCCTGGCACAGCGGAGCACCACCAAAGAAAAACTAATGAGCAGGGCAGATCCAGCTAAACACAACGCAATTTAGGCGACGTCCAAGCTGCCCTTAAAGCAAGACAAAGCATTAATTGGTTTGTACTTGTTTTGCCTTTGCAGCAAAAAGTTCAGCTGAGGACATCTGATGGCAGGAGCAAGCCACGAGGCCACCTGGACAAGCAGGCACCAGTGTGACCGCTGGGTGGGTTGTGCAAAACCCCACCGGGAGCCCTGAGAAATGGGAAATTCGCCTCCAGACTGGAGGGGCTGATCAGATACTGGGCCAGTTCATTAACCAAGCGCTGCTTCTGCAGTTACATCACCTCGTTTCCCAAGGCGGGGAGCGAACTTAGCAAACACGTTGTGAATTTGATGCACTAGCTGAATTCAGCTGTTAGAGGATGACAGAGGGAAGAAGAGACGTGTCCTGGGAAGCAGAGGATGACCCATAGATTACACCGTCCCCCTAAAAGGATGACAAGATCTGTGAAGGTGGGGTTACATCTGAATGGTCTCACACAGCCTCATTGCTCACCACGTATCACCTTATCTTATCTGTGTGGTTTCTTTAACCTGACTCATCCTGGGTGAGCAAACACAGAGCCCTGCCCAAAGGGAGCAGATGTAGTGCAGGCGTTGCAGGAGGCTTCTGAACCACCGGGTCAGGAGCCACAGCTGGTTCTGCCCAAAGCAGCTGGTTTGCTTCTGCACTGGATTGCTCCCCGAGCTGTAAAAACTCAGCCCCTGCTCCAGGATGACAGCATTCACTGCTCCGAGACAAGGAAAGAAACAATGAGAAATTCAACCAACCCAAGGGAACTTGTAAATTAAGATCCTGGGAGGGGAATAAAAAAAAAAAAAAAAAAAAGAAAAACAGACTACAAGTTAGTAGCAACCAGCCCGTTTTGGCCAATGAACCACAGCTGAAGCGCTGAACCTTGGTATTCCCTGAAGCATGCACAAATAAAAATATTTAATAGGCTCTGCAACCCTGCTGCAGATCACTAACCATAGCCCAGGGTCCACGCTTTTGGCACCACTGATTTTAGGGACAAAGAAGTGCAGGCCCTACTGGAAAAAAGATGTTGGAACTTATTGCAAAGGGGAAAAAAAAGCGCAAGAAATGGCACCATGGGAATTCAAAAAGAGTTAAAAGGAAACTGATAAAAAGCACAAACACGAGAGAAGGCACAAAGCTAATTCCATCACGGCCTTATTGGTTCTGTAAATGCATTAATGAAAGCAAACAAAGTGTAGGTCTGTTAATCAGCAGGAAGGAGAGCAGAGTACATAACAAGACGCCCTGCTCAAAGCCTTCTCTGCTTTGTACTTAAGCACCCAAGGATGACTGTCATCAAGCACTGATCTCTCTTAAAACCCTCAAATCTTTTCTTTCCAATCTGCTCTTCGCTTGGGTCCCCTTGTTAAAAGTGCTCTTCTAAAGGTTAACCAGGAAGGGATGTTTAGTTATTCCTTAGTCCTATCTTCAGGATAAGGGGGTCGATTCTGCCACGGTGGCTGTGTGAAGGTAGAACCTCCTGGGGAGCCCATGACCACTCAATATTCACATTCGTGCCACCATTCATTTATCATTGACTTTTATGAGTACCTATTTAAGGCCCCAATGGTTCATCTTTAACTCTCACTGAAAAGCAAATAGCAAGTTTTTCCACCAGAAGACCAGAAAACACCAGGAAGCAGAACCCCCAAGATCCCCCAAGCACAGGGAGCTGCGCCCATCTGTGACACAGCCGCTAAGGATAACCTCCCTCGCTCCAGCAAAGGAAACGGGCTGGGGAAAGAAGCCAGTGGTCAGGATTTTGGGCCAAGAACCTGAAATTGAGGTGCTGCCAACGGGCGGGGGATGACTCAGCCTTGCAGAAACAGAAGGGGTGAGGGGAAAAGGACAGAACAAAAGATAATCAGACACACGCCTGAGTCACTGGTAGATAAGGAGGGACGAAAACAGAAAAGAGGTGGAAGGGCAGAGATAAAAAAAAAAAAAAAGTCTTCTTTTGAGATCCTCCTAGCAAGGGGTAGGTAGGAAGCAGAAGCAGAGGAGCTGAGGATAGGTGATGCTCCCTCCATCAATCACTGCGTCAGGAACGGGAAATGTGCCAAGGGAACAGGGATGGGGAAAAGCCAAGGATCAGCTGAGAGCTGGGACATCTGCTTGCCCTTACCACTGGGCTCAATGCGCCAGGAAAGCGACCCAGCCATGGGGTGGCCCATCCAAAGCACCACGAGATCGGAAAGGGGAGAGGACACCACTCCCTAAACCAGCTGCTCCAGCCCCCGGCCTGGTACTGCTCACCGTGCCCATTGCAGTAATAGATCCACTTCTCCCTGTTCTGCGTGGGGGTGGTGGACTTCTTCATAATAGCTTTCTCCACAATGGCACTGGGATCTTGCCTCGGCCCTTTCTTCAGAGTCCGTGAGCTCTTCCTGACACTGCAGACCACGATAACCACCAGGACCAGCAGCAGGAAGAGGACGATCATCCAGGGCAAGTGTTCGTTGATATCGAAGTGCTGGTGGACGTTCTGCGGCCCTCTCCGGGGCGGCCTGTAGGGCATGCTGGACTTCTCGCCCCCTGCCATCTCCAGGGCCGGCTGCTTCTCCAGAGCTTGGCTGGTGTGTTTGTGCCGGTAGCTCTGCGCCTGGCCGGCGGTGCCGGTGCCCACCAGGCTCCCTCTGGTACCCCCGGTCTCGTTGGCCGAGGTCTGGTTGTAGTCGCTCGTCGGCCCCGTCACACCGTTGGCCGCGGGTGGAGAGGGAGCCAGGTCAGGGAACTGAAGAGTTCAGACCTGCAGGAGGAGAGGAGAGCTCAGTGTCACGGCGCTGGGGAGGTGACATGGAGCCACAGCACGGCCTGAGACCCCTCTGAGTGTCGGCACATGGCCTGCAGGCCTAAGCCCAGCGCCAGGCAATGAGAGAGGGAAAACCAGACCTTAATGTCACCTCTGTATCAGACAGCTACTGAGTCAGGTTCGAGGTAAAACAGACTGGGTTAACACCTAGTGGCTGCTCATCAACAAAAAGGAGCGATTAAAAGCACATTGGTGGTCTGTGTTTGACCCAAATTCAGCATTTCTTAGAAAACCCGCAACTTTGAGGCAGTTGGCTTTCTTCTCCTAGCTTTACACTGATATTATTTTTTATTACATTTTTATTATTTCATATTTTTGTTACATTATTAGCTTTACACTGATAACGGAAAATTTGGATATTTGGGCTAGGAACACACATAAACATTATCTTTACTTTTTACTGATGATGGAAAACATTTTCATATTTGTTTTTAGCCCAAATACTATTAGCTTTACATCCATCATAGAAAACTTGGTATTTGGGCTAGGAACACACAAATTCAGAGGCTTAGCATCTCTCAACCAACTCTTGTCAGAGAAGCACAAACATTTTATCAGCACTGCAATCAGACGTGGATGCATCAACTCCAAACCAGGTTTCTGAAGTGACTGAGATGACCCAACTTCCTCCTAAGAGCCACTTTCTACTTTTATTGAGTTTTCTTATCAACAAGCAGCGCCTGGTGAGAAGAGGAAGGGCGCTGCAGCACGAATTAGAGCCTGCTCTGGAAACTTGGATGTGAAGATCGTGTCTCATCCCAGCTGAGCCAAAGCGCGGGTGTAACCATCTGCGATGTGAGAAGCCAAACCGCTCTGACCAGGACACAAACAGGGAAAACGCTAACTTTTATCTGCTTGTCTATGGTCGATATCAAAGTTCAGGGAACACCCTCCCTTCCTCGCCCAGGGAGACGACAACGTCACGTCAGGCTTCTCATTTGTTAGGTCCCAGAGCCCTGCAGCCTACAACCGTCAGCACCTCCGCACCTGCATTTACTGGCTCAGGTGTAAAGGGCATCAAAACTTGCCTTTTGTTGTTGAAATGCCCCATTTTGGACACTATCAAGGAGTGCTGAGCAGCAGCTCACACAGAGCCCCATAGCACCCAGCCGTGGCTGAAGCATCTCTGCTAAACACAGCAGCACCCTGCCCATGGGTTCTCTGCCTGGTCTCCTACCCCAGCAGTCTCCCAGTGAAGAGTGTGACATGTTATTTCCAATTAAGTGAGAGAATAGGGGAATTCAAGCTAGTTTTCCCCACCAATGGTAATTAGTGGAAGCCTTCGAGGTTAAAGAAAAAAAAATAATAGCACAGCCTAGGTGCAGTTTTGGCAATGGTCCCCATTCAACCCAGTAGAGTGATACAATTCAGGGCAAAACATAGCAGGGAAAGCACAGGCAGAGAGGCAGCAAACCCATCAGGACACCCAACAAACCCACCCAGAGATCCAACAAACCCATCAGTGGGGTGGAGAGAAGCTCCCATCTCCCCTCGGGGCTTTGCTGCTGTACCCACTCCCTGCTCAGGTTTGCCACAAACACACCGAGACTTATGCCAGCACAACACGTGGATTGGAAAAACAGCTGGGGAACACGATGTCCTCTTAATCCAAACAGTATGACAGCCAGAAGTCCAATCAGGAGTAAAATCTCGGGGAAAATATTATTAAGTGTGGTTCATTAAGTGTGGTTTAACACAAGCAATGGCAACCTGATGTAGTCCAGAGCCACGTCCTGGCCAAAAAAGCAAAAGCACCATCTGCACTTGAGACCAGGTTGACCTCCAACAGCCTAAAAACAACCGTGACCGAGGCAGGAATGCAATCCCATGGCTGAAAACAGCTGTGCACGTTACCTTTGGGAAGATGAGCGGTCGGTGGAGCCTCGTAGGTCTCTCCACCTGCTTCTGCATCTGACGAAGCCAAAGATGTGCTTGGCAGAGATGCCGGAGAACCGCAGACGTTGTCACTTTCCTTCGTCCCCGGCTTGACCACCACCATGTTCTTCCCGAAGCAGTCCGTGTAGGTTTTGCACTTCATCACGCTAGAAGGCACATCAGAAAAAGTACCACGGGGGCACGGCTTGCACCTCACGTCTTCCGTCTCGGTTCCTTTCTTGCGGACGCCCCAGCCGACCGGGCACACCGTGTAAGGGACGCAGGTATCGTTCGTCTGAAACGTACCCGACAGGCAAGTGCACTCGCGGTCGGTCAAGGCAGTACAATGGGTTTTCTCAATCATTGGCAGTTCGCAGGGCTTTCTGCAAGGGTGGCATCGCTCTATGCCGTTCTCGTGCTTGGTAAAAGTCCCGTCCGGACACGGGCTGCACTCCCTTAAGGTGCTCTTCGTGCAGTGCTTGGACACGTAGGTTCCCGCGGGACACTTGTCGCAGATCAGCTCCTGGTTGGTGGCACGGTCGAGGTGGCGGTACTTGCCGGCGGAGAGGCTGATGGCATTCTGCTCGGAGGTCAGCTGGGGCTGAGCGCCGGCGCTGCCGAGGAACACGAGCAACTGAAAGACAGAGGCAAAGCGTTAGCGGGGCCCCCGGTGCCAAATTCCTTCTGGTGTGCCAGCCCGGGACAGGGCCACCGGGGCAGCAGGACCACGAGGGAGGTTTTGTCCTCTCAAGGCTGAGAGGTCCCAGCAGTGCTCAGGCATTTGCCAAGAAGACAAAAACCACGCAGGCGGTGGCTCTGACCTGCGGGACTTCCTTCCTCTGTGTTTGTTACCCTGCGGTTGCTCAGTTATTTGCCTTTTAAAATAAGGCAAAACAAGATGAAATCTGGGCTGGCGTGCGGTACCAAGTGTGTTCTCAGCCCCACCGCCCTCCCACAGCCCTGTGCAAGGGTAAGGCTTGCTTCAGGGGCTCTGCTTTAAGCCTCCCACACCTGAATCCACTTGCAACCAGATTTATTTGCAACACGAGAGGGGAAAAAGGACGCTATTCCTAAGCTCTTTTGGGGGCTCCACTGTAACTTTGCTCCTCATTGCATCACATACAGGTAAAAGCTCTCACGTTTTTACACACCAAACGCACCCAGCTGGGTTTGGCTGGATGACGACTATGGGTCCATTCACCTCCACCTACTTCTAGCCCCATGATTTTATTCCCTTTGGTCCTTTGCAGTTGGTACCATGGGGCCGCTCCTTCCCCAGGAGAAGCCCTCTCTCCATTTCCACCTGGGGGACCTCTGGACCACAGATACGCATCAGTTAGGCCAGCAGAAATAATGCCCGGAAAACAAAAGGCAGCTCAAGAAGAGCTGCCACAACCTCATCCAGCATGCAAAGCAGCTGGAAACGCATTTCCAAACAGCAGCAGGCTGAGTTCAGAGGGAAGAGGACCAGGCTAACATTACAGCAGCTTTCCAAAGGTGATTTCCTACACTAAGGTGGGAAGACCACCAACCCTAACGCTTCTCAACCGAGCAGCTGGGGACATAAATCACCTTGCTAGGCTATACGGGACCTTGCTTTTGCTCTGCTACATATCCTGGGCTATCAGCCAGCAAGAATATATTATATAAAAAAAAAAAAAAAAAAAGCCTCCAACAACATGACTCTGCAGAACACACATCGCAGCAGAGCTGCAAGCTGCGCCGCGTCATTTTTGGTGCAGTCTCTTGCTTCCTGGAAAACACATGCTCTGGCAGCGCATTTCTCTTTCACCTGCTAAATAATTTATGGCCGAGGATTTGTACAAAACACTTCAAGTCTTTTTTTTTCCCCCTCCCTCCTGAAGCGGCAATTACAGAGGCGGCGGCAGCAGACAAGCCTGCAGGAGTTGACAAGGATCCTGCGGTGGCCAGGCCAATTACAGCACGTCAAATTAAAACAACAACAACAAAAAAAAGCGAGAGGCTGCTCTGGCAGGCTCTAACGGCTCACCCGATGCATGTTCCACCCCTCCCTCCTGCAAGACACGATTTCACGAAGCGCTCAGCTCGCGCTACAGAAACCTGCCACCCGTAATCTCCCTGACGCAACCGCGAATTAGCAAACCAGATGCAACAGGATCCGGCCTCCCCAGGGCTCACCAGTGCCCTACACAGGGGATATGAGCCCGTGTTGGACCCTGGGGGGGCATCAGGAGGTGCGGCACCAAGGGGGCTCTGGTGCATGCGCAGCTCGGTGCTTATGGACAGCAGCGAGTCGCAGCGGGGGAAGGCTGAGCAGCCTGGAGCATCCATGCGGGTGTCGTGTGGATTGGTGCTTCTGGTCCCTAAAAATAACCCGCTGCTGGGAGCGTGTGGCTGGCAGCGCTCGCAGCACCGTGAGCACCAGCCGGGAGCAGGAGGATGTCTCTGCCTGGGAGGACGTCTCCACCAGGGAGGATGCCTGCTGCTCAGACCCACCACGAGCAGCACAAGAATGGAGCAGGGTCTCCTTAGCCACTGGATTCCAGTTCGTTACTCCCAGCACCAAAGCACACAGGGCAAG